ATATTTATTTGTTTCTTTAATTTTGTTCTCTGAGAAGTGTGTGTTCATCTCGGATGCCCATTTCTGGATTAGGTCTTTAAATTTAGGGGCCTTAATGTTTTTTAGTTCTTTATAAATTCTAGAGAGCAGACTTTTGTGTGAGTGCTTATTAGTTAAGATTTTTTAAAATTTATGGATTGTCTTTTCACTTTGTTGGTAATTTGTTTTGACATGCAAAAACTTCTCAATAAGAGTTGGTCCCAGTTGTTAATTGTTTCAAATATTACCTATGCAATTTGATTTTTGTTCATGAACTCTTTGTCTACCCCTATGTCTTCAAGAGTTCCTCCTACTTTCTCTTCCAGGAGATTTAGTGTTTCTGTTTTAATGTTTAGATCTTTAATCCATTTTGACCTCAGGCTTTCACAGAGAGCAAATTGATCAAGCAATGGCCATGACTTATCCACATGGCTGACACTGACAAAGGATCTGCAACCTGTGGTACAAGGTTACAGGATAAATCCTGAGGGGACTTGACGACCTTATCAGATACAAAAGTTACAATTCTTGTTATACAGGTCTTGCTTTATCTTGGTCTTAACCATCCAGCAGAAAAGTATAAAAATGAGGTATATAAAGTAAAGCCGTATTAATATGCAAAGCTGTGAAAGGCTCCAGTCAACAACTTCTGCAGATAACCCACTACTATTGTGGACTAGACTGTGTTGGATTGTTTTGCTGAATTCATGCACCTGTAGTATTTAGATGCCAATAGAATACCCATTTCTGATATGACTAAGCAAAGAAGGGGTACAAAGGAAGGACCATTTTGTATCTGTATATGCAGAATAGTTAGGATAGATATACAGCTACTTTTGCTTAACTAAATGAGAAGAAAGATTTGTACTAATAGTGTTTGGACAGGATATCCTGTCTGCATCTTGTAGTATGGATGACTACTAAGAAGATAACAATGTACAATGTATTAATTATTGAAACTGTCCTATTAATCAGTTTTGAAACTGTCTTATTGCTATTTGTTTCTCAACAAAATAAAAAATAAAAAAAGAACTTAAAAATACAGTTGCACAACTGGAGGAGGTGGGTGGTGTTTGGTCTTCAGAATTGGCCAGGCCAGGCTGTACCTGAGTGGGAGAGTAAAGAAGTCCGGGGCTACAGCTTGTTCTCATCTGGTGTGTGTGTCCCAGAGATTCTGTGCAGCAAAAGTGGACCCAGCTGGCTTTCTGGACAAGGCCTACCCCCTTCCCTATGGGCTGTTTCCCCAGTCTTATCTCTTTCCCACTTATTCTAAGTGCTTCATCTCTAGTCACTCATTTAATCCTCACATCATGTCTACAAAGTATTAGACCTTCCATTTGTAGTCAAGGAAACATGTTCAAAGAGGCTGTGACTTTTATGGGGTAACATAGAAGGCTAACTGTAGAATATAGATTGTAACAACTTGTGACTTCAAACATCCAGAAGCTTACAGGGCTGACCAAGTGCAATTCAAACTAATGCTCAAGTCTGCAATAAAATCTTCCTCTTGAGGATGATGCAAAACATTCGGTCCCACTGAGATGAAAGGGCTGTATGGACTTCCTGGTTCTTTTTTGACCCCTGGCTTGCCTGCCTGAGCACAAGCTCAGCTTTCCAGTCCTGCTCACAGGCCCTGCCACAGTGACATCTTCAGACTCTGACTCCTTTCTCCAGCCCCCAGGGGAGCTGAGGCTAGAGGCCAGGTCCATTCGAGGCACTCACACCCTCCTCCCACACACTGGCACTGAGATGTACCGATTGGACTCTCACTCCCTGCCAGGTGCTGTGCTGAACACCAGGTAGGCAGCTCCCACCTCAGCCCGAGCTGTGACTTGACAGGGGTGGCAAACAGGTACTAGGGGTATTTTGGGAGTGATGGAACATTCTAAAAATTAAACTATAGTGATGGTGGTATAATTCTAAATTTCCTAAAAATCATGGAATTTGTACTTAATGAATAAGTTTGATGGTATATATTCAATAAATCTGTTTTAAAAAATAAAGGCCACAATTTTTTTCTGATTTTACTTTCATACTTTTGCTGCAAAAACTTTTAAATTCTTTGAGGTGAGACTCCCCAGAGGCTTCTGGCCTCCTGACTTAGCTAGGCACAGCTTCCCAGGAAAAGATAGTTATCATGAGAAGCCTCATGTCTGGGGACCAGTCAGACCAGCATTCAAATCCAGGATTATGAGCTGGGGAGATGGCTCAGTGGAAAAGGCGCTTCTCTGGGAAATGCAAGGACCTGAGTTAAATCCCCCGTTCTGAAAAAAAAAAAAAAAAAAGGCAAATCCAGGATTATGTCATATATCACTTGGGCAAAGTGCCTGCCCTCCTGAATTTGTGCTTTCTTAGTGTAGTGCTATGCAGATGGACCAAAACAGCACAGTGAACACCTGTCTCCAAGCCTGGAATGGTCTGTGCTCCTTAGCTGGGTACTGTGACTGCTTGGCAGCTCAGTGGGGAGGGTTTCTCTGGAGGACTCCAGCGTTCCATGATGTCTTTCTTCTCTTACTTCCTTTGTTGTTGAGAACCACCTGGATGACTCTCCTTGGGAGAAGAGTCATCTATCTCCAAATGGAGATAGTCAACTATCTCCAATTTGGCTAGACCTGGCTCTATTTTCATGTACTGATATGCACAGAACTGGCTAGGACTTTTCCTTATCCCTTCCATTGTCTTTAAACAATGCAAGTCAGTCCAGCCAAGGTGATGATGTGTAGTCTTTAAAACAAGATGACATTGCAGTGTCACTTCACCCCATAGTTCCAGAGTTTGCTCCATACTATTGGCTGGGATAGAGGCTATGACTTCCCAGGGCATAAAAGATCACATATCAGAGCTGAATCAATGACCCCAAAACATTAGATGCTATCCCAATCGAACAGATCACCCTTTCTGCATATCTTATCTCTGCATACTGCAAAGGTGATTTCATTCCTCCTACCTAACCCAGCTCATGGCATTCCCCTACTTCCCACCATTCTCATAGTCATTCATCCCAGAGCCACTCCCTTCTTCACAGATTAATAAAATCCAGGTTTAGCCTTGGGTTGAGGCCTTTGTTCCAGATAGCCATCATTGTGGCTGCACTTAGGACCCCTTGGCTCCCCACAACTACAAATATGCCTGAGTGTCTTCATTCTCACCATGGGTTGCACTGGAAGTGGTACACAGGAATCAACTCACTAAAATTCCAATAACTTTTCTATGGGATTACAAATATAAACTTCCTGGACCACGACAAGGACTGGGAAGGCATGTCTATTTGTGTTAATGTGCTGTGTCCCAACTCCTGTCCAGTCCTTGTCATTTCATTCAGAGACATGAAACAGCCTCTACGAGTCTTCCCTCTCCTGCCTCTGACCTGCTAATTGTCTTCAACATGGGCTGCGCAGTGGTTTTGTTCTAGGTCACATTCCTGTCTAAACGTCTTATAACCCTGGACCCTGATCCCTGAGCATGACCCTAGGTCCCCACAGGTAACTGGGTCTCATGGCCCCACCCCAGTGTCTCAAGTTCTCACAGACACAGCTGCCTAATAACTATTTTTCTGGCCTTCTATGAAAATTTAATTTCCCATTAAAGTTTCCCGCCCAGGAATCCCTCAGACAGTTCCCTTTATCTAGCGGTGTCTCAGTTTTGTCCTATATGAGTTGGAGGTTTATAATTTTCACTTCTCAGAATTGTTTGAGGATAATAGTGATATGTGTGATCATCACAGTGTAACAGGAATCAATGCGACAGTAATAACTCAGCTCCTGCTAGTGTCGGGAAGTTTCTCAAACATTTTATCAAATTTACCCCAATTATTTAAATTAGACACTGCTATGATTTGTATTTTATTATAGGAAGCTCAGGGCATTTAATTTAAGATCCACAGGTAACAAGCCTCAGGGCCAATGCCCCAATCTAAATCAGTGTGAAACCAAGATCTAGTCTCATATGGAGTAGGCATTTAATGAATTCTCTTCTTTCTTTCATCACTACCTTTCACAGTCTCTTGTTTAAGTTCTGGCAGATGTATGACCCTTGTCTGGCTTCTCCAGAACCATGGCTGGAATCAGTCTGTCCCCACCTCCTCCTTCTTGTCTGTCTGTCTCTCTTATGTTGGTGCTTATGAATAGAACCCAGGGCTTTGTGCATGCTAGGCAAGTACTCTATTACTGAGCTACACCCCCAGCCCCAACTCACTTTCTTGGGAACTAACTGGGATTTCTTGGGAAATACATTTGTTTCTTCCAAGCCCATAACTCCATGGCCTGATTACCTTAAAGTAGGCCCATTTAAAAAGTCCATCAGCTTTTCACATGTGTGTACTGGGGTCTAAGCTTTCAGCACATGACACTTGGGGACACACTGAGACCTTCTCCAACCCACAGCCTAAGCCAAGTTTCTAACATTATATGAAGAAATAAGATTAAACATAAATCTATGAAGATCACAAAATCCTACTCTGATCCAGACCAGAGTGGCTGCAGGTGGGAGTACTGTCACTTAGAGTGACTGGCCAAAGCCACTCCAAGGGGAAGTATTTGAGATAAGGTGGAGTGAGTGGTAGGGATGTCTGTGGGAAGACAGGAAAGATGAGCTTTATAGGGAAACCCAGGACAAATGCTAAATCCCTGAAGTGGGAACAGGATTGGCAAGTTCAAGAGTCAGAAAGATGAACATGTATATTCTTATGTCAGAAAGCTGAGCATACTTTTTTTAAAATTAAATGTTTCATGACATATGTTTATGTGTTAACTAATGATCTCATTCCTTTGTGATTCTCAGAAGGCCAAATGGCCTTAATCTCCCTGTTTCCTTACTAGGAGGGAGAGCCTCCTCTTGCCGAGGTGCTGGCCGATTTCCCACACAGCCGTTTTCTGCTGTGCAGAGACATCTGTTACACTTTGTCCCTAATCTGGCTGACCTTGTACGAATCCCCTCCTGTTCTAATTCACTGCCTGTGTCCCTGCTGATAAAAGGCTCAACCCCACTGGAGGAAACTGTTTCTAAACCTTGCAGCTCAGCTACTACCTTCTCCCAGGGCTTGCAAGCCATGAAGCTTTTTTTCTTGTTTCTAGCCATTATTCTGGCCATGGAACCAGTGATGCCAGGTAATTTGGGATCTCTCAAGGGCCTGGGATCCTGGCATCTACCCTGCCTCTGCTCCCTCACTGGAGGCAGCATTCCAGCCCTTGCTCATTTCACGCAGCTTTCCCGGGATCATATCACATTAACATTTCTCCCTGATTCTTTGCTAACTGGTGGGATGATAAATGTTTGAAGCACCTGACATTTAAGGGCAGGGATGGCATCCTGGTGGGTCCTTGAGGGTGCTTGGGGCTGAGGGATTAGGTGCAAGTTGGGGGTTTGTTGGAGATTAGATTGAAGGTTGGGGGTGAGTTTTGATGGGAGAAACCTTGGAGTTGGAATAGTTAGGGGAATGAGGGTGAGCTGGAGGTGACGAGCTGGGATTTGCTGATGGCATGGGAAAGTTGGAGTGGGGATGAGGTTTTGGCTTGGATGGAACCAGTGTTGGGCATTAAATTTGGCATGAATTCAGGGTGGGAGTTAGTGCCCAGTGGTGCAGGGTGCTTAGGTTCACATTATTGATGGGTGGCTCTGGGACTTGTGGCTAGTGACTTGATCATATTTGAGTTTGGCTTGGAGTTGGGGTTCAGGATCCATTCTGTGAGTAAGACTGGGAGTTGACCGGGTTTTGAGTTTGCATCAGGTGAAGATGGGGTCAAGGAAGGCTGCAGATGGGGTTGTGGTTGGAGCTGAGGTTGGTTAGGCTTCTGTTAGAGTCAGGCTCTTCGTAAAGAGTTGGGTCAGTTGCAATGTGAGTGAATCTCTTCCTTTTCCTAAATTACAGGCAGACACTATTCATAAGCTCCTTTATTTGGTGAAAACTTTATTAGCACTTACATTGATTCTGAAAGAAGGAGTAGGAAGGTGGGGAATAAAATGATAGAAGGGTGGAAATGCTCTCCTGAGAAAGACTTTCCTGAAAACTTTGGAATTTCTAGTTGGAACAATTGTCCTCTTTCTTTCCCCTCGCAATGTCTTTTCTTGGGACTGTGTCCACCATTACTCACTGATTCCCTTCTCTCTCACCCCTCTCATACTTCCCTGCTTCCTCTTGTCTCCCCACATGAGTGAATATAATCTGCTTAATGATTGTTTCTGTGCCCAAAACACAATGTTGGATGGATGGGCAGTGCTGGCAAGTGCAGAGAAGACGAAGACCACACCCTGTACTGCTGAGATTGTAAATGGTCCTAATTGAACAATCCAGCCAATAACAATTGATAGAGACCTTGGCTAGACCACTCCTATAAAGTTCATGTAATTACACACACACACACCCACACACACACACACACCCACACACACACACACACAAATGGAAATCACAAGTAGAAATGACTTTACTCTCTGTTCTTTGTTTCCATATTTCATTAAACTCACAAATGTATTTCTTGTATCTATCAATCATGAAGAATGATATCCAAAGTGGATTGAGGGAAGGGAAGTAACAGGACAGGGTTAAGTGGTAGGAGAGAGAGGTCATTAAGACCGGCCCTGGAAAGGGGAGATGATTACAGATTTCTCTCTCTCTCTCTCTCTCTCTCTCTCTCTCTCTCTCTCTCTCTCAGTAGCTGGGATTACAGGAGTGCACCATCATGCCCGGCTATAATTTTAGTTTTGAAGATGGTTCTTCATCCAACCCAACAAGGGATTGGGTCAGGGGTACATTGAAGGGATTAAGGCGAATCTGTGAGATTTAAAGCCACCTCAGGTACACGGAAAGTGGGGGAATCTTGGGACTGGAGACTGGTCCATGTGCATGGAGTGCACAGGGATGATGTGGAATGCTGAGCAGAGCCCAAGTTCTAGGTTTCCTGAAAGATCAGCTCACACGCTTTCTCATTCTCGAAGGCCAAAGCCCCAGGGGTCAGAGGATTCTTATATGCTAAAAAAGCCAAAGCATGCAAATGTATCCATTTCCATATGAATATATGAATCTGTTCATTATTCATTTTATATTGTTTTATGGATTAATTTACTCATTCATATATCTCCAGACTTGAGCTTCCCCATCTGGAAAACTAAGAAATAGTATTATCTACTTTAGGATACAGTTAAGAATGAAAAGAAATAGTGTATAGTGTCCAGTATATACTAAGCTCTCAATAAATGTTAGGTGATGTGATTGTTCATTGATTTATTTAGATATTTACTGAATATGTGCTGCATGTTTTCTGACTATGCTAGAAGCTGGAGAGGCAGAAGCCCATTTCCTTTCAACAGATAACTTAGCCTTGGAGAAGAATAACTCATGGAGAACATTTAGAAATCCTGCTTGGAAATCTAGAGACCTGAGTGTCTTCCCAGGCTTTACTATCTCACACTCATCCTTTGGGCCTCATTTGTCCAAAACAATTTTTTTTTTCTTCAGGGATTTGGGTGCTCAACCCCTATGCCTCCTTCCATGGGCTTGTCTCCAAGATTCTCCCCTGGAAGGTTGGTCTGGCTGTGTGTTCACCCCTAGATAGAAGAGCCAAAGACATTCCTGTTTTCAGGGGTGCTAGGCAGGGCTTTGATGTCCAGTCTGGAGTGTCTGCATCTATATCTGCATCTACAGCTATGGCTCCTCCCTGCTTGGGACAGATTTTGGGTTGCCAGAGAAGTGAGGCTGGGCCAGCTGCCCCTGTGCTGCCTGGTTTCTGCATGAAGTCTGAGAAATCCAAGAATTGTAAATTCTAATGTGATATCTCTGGTCAGTACAAGGACTATCTCACAGGAAGGAATAGAACATATTTAATTTATCTTATTCCTTAGCTTGAGTCACAGCATTTAAGTATTCTTAATGTATAAGTATATCATATATGATATATGAGCCTCTGTGTGTATTTCTGCCCAAGATTTTGAGCTCATCTTTGTAGGTTATTTCTTTTCTCAACTGAGTTCTGAGTGGCTTCACAAACTGTCACTTTGAAGGAGTTATGCTATATATCATGTTATTGGGTAATTATTTGAGTCATTGTCTCTTTCCTACCAGACTTCCAAACATTTTCGATTATTAAATGGAAACCCTTAGGGTTCTGACAGGAGCTTCTTTATAGCTCTCTGCTTGGGGTTAAGCTCAACCTATGCACGGATGCTAGTATTTAGAGAGTACTTCTTGATCAATTGGCAGGTGAATGGTGACTTCACTAGTGACAGCACTAATGGATTCGGTATGGGTAGAGAAGGCTGATGCCAGGTTCCAGAATGAGTTGGGATCCTCTGGGCTTGAAGGAGCAGAAGACCTCTGCAGAGAAGGGTGCAGAGGAGCACCTGGGTGTTTCTCAAGTCCTTGTGTCTTTTTGTTTCTCAACTAACTTGCTCTTGAAACACACAGGCTTCGCAGAGTGGAAGGTGGTCTATGAAGGGCCCAGGACTCCCTGCAGCTTGGGGCCTGGCACTGAAATGTTCACACACAGAAGCTCAGCCTCTACCCACTCGTGCCCTGGAATGAGGAGTCGTCTCCTCATTTGGCTGATACCATTTATTAAGAGCCTCCTCTGTGCTCAACACTGGACGCCCAGAGGCAATCGCTGGGGCAAGAAAAGGGCTCAGGTCTCTCCACTGAGCCATAAGAAGGCTTGAGATGACACTTGTCCATGTTCTTGAGTCTTTGGGCTTACCACATTTTGAAAATTCTCTCAGATTATTCCTCTTGAAGAGAAGGCATCACCCCCAAAATTCCTTCATTCTCCATAGCCCTCAGGGCCGAGAGGATCCCAGGTACTCTTTCCTTATTTTCCAATTTCCCAGATGGAGATATTGAGGCTTAAGAGGGAGGCAAAGTGGCCCACATTCATAGTTAGAGATGATGCTGGGATCAACAGTGGTTCTCCTTGCTTTTGGAGAGCAGGCTGAGAGAATGTCAAAGATGGCATTAAGTAGTTGTGGGTAAGACAGAGAGTAGTGGCCCTGAATGACATGGAGTCAACGGGGGCGTGGGTATGAGGAGATGAAAAGCCCCTGACAAGTCTTGAGAGTTAGTTTGGGAATTTGTGAAATCTCCTTCTGGGATGCAGTAGCCTCTGCACCATGTTCAGTCTGGCTTCACCATCCTTCCTTTCAATGCAGACTGACTCTTTTCCTCAAGGAAGATGGGAAGGGACCTCATCTCCAGGGGACGTGATAGAAAGGGATGTGACTTTGGCTTTTACTTCTTTTTTTTTTTTCTCTTAATTTATGTATTTGGTACAGGGTCTCACTACACAACTCACAGCTCGTTCCTCTTATTTTCAGCTTCCTCAGTGCTGGGATTATAGGCGTGTACCACCACGCCTGGACTCATCTCCTGCTCAGCATGCCCAGGGGTGGGGCTGGTGGAATCCCTCTCTCTGCGCTTGCCTAAGCAGATGCTTAATCCACTGAGCTATCTCACCGGCCCTTGGCTTTTACTTTTTTTTTTTTTTATGTATTTAGTATAGGGTCTACAGGGTTTCACTACAGAGATCTGACTCATAGTGATTCTTCTGTTTTCAGCCTTCCAAGTGCTGAGATTACAAGCGTGTGCCACCATGCCTAGTCTTATTTGCCCTCTCAGCGTGCCCAGGGGTGGGGCCCACACAGCAGCTTTTACTTCTTAAAGGCTTCTTGGGCTCTTTCTTTTCCTCCTAGTGGGTTGAGGGGTGCCAAGGATGGAAAGAGGGTATGCTTGTCTGTGGGGAGGGCTGACATGGTGGGTGTAGAAGCATTTTGGAAGAAGACCTTTACAAAGCTGGAGGACCTGGGCCTGGGCCTGTGCTGGACCTTGCCTGAGACTGATGGGTGGCCTGCTGATATAGCTGAAGCTGTGTTCAGCCTCTACTTTGCATGCCAGCATGCAGAAACTAACTACAGATGACAATGATAATTCATTTTTCCTTCTTGCCCAAGCCACAAGGGGTAAAGATATTTCCTTAGGCCACACATATGCTCTAGATAAAAACAAGGGAGGGCACCACTTTTATTCATGCAGGGATCTCATGCTGTGTGTTTAAGTACACATTTGGTTTTGTGTTAAACCCAGTTGGGCAGAGAATCTTTTTGTGCTAGGTGCCAAATTAAAGACTCAACAATATTGGGTGCTGGCAATCATTCATGGAGTGAGTGAGAGGACTTGGAATGGCAGGTTCAAAAGTTTGGGCTCAACAGTGAAGGCAACTGAGAACCCAGCTGCCATATTCAGGGAGACACTGATCGCTCCTCAAAACAAAGTCCTAGTAGGTAGACAGCCAGCATGGAAGAATGGGTTTGGGATACATGAGGCAGAAACAAACCGAAGGAATTTGTGATTGTCCTTCTTCGTGTCCTGAGATCTCTGCCTGGTCAGCCTTCTTTATTCCACCTTACTGAGTAGTCTTGTATTTTTTCTATGTGCTTTAAACTCCACTTCAGAGAAAAGTACAGAGAAGAACATTTACTCTATTTTTCTGATGAGATCGGGCGCGTTCAGGGTGGTACAGCCAGAGACATATTTTTCTGGAAGTGGAAGTTGCCATTGACCTTTAGCTCCCCAACTTATCCTATCCCTGTCATTGCTAAGTGGAGACTAATTAGTATTATTGTTATTTTTTCTGGCCAGGAAAACATCCTCTTCGATGCATGGGCAACAGTGGCATCTGTAGAACCTCTTGCAAAAAGAATGAGCAGCCCTACTACCACTGCAGAAATTATCAACCGTGCTGTCTCCAGTCCTACATGAGGATAAGCATTACTGGCGCAGAGGCAAATGATGGCTGGTCCTATGGGAACCACTGGCCCCAAATACCTTGAGTCCTGGCCACCAGAATCCTCAAACTTTCTGGGAACCTAGATCTGCTGTTAGCCTCCTTCATTAAAATTCATGCACCTGCCACTGTTTTCTGTCTTTTATTCCCTGGAAACCACAGTGAGAGATTGGGTTCTGCAGGGTAAGAGGTCTTACTGTAGCTTGTGGCAGAGATCTGGAGTGATGAACAAGAGGACCAGACCAGCCAGGGAAGATGGGAGAGAAAGTGGACAGGATTAGGCAGAGCCCTGCAGGACTTAGACAGGTCCTAGGCCGAGTGGGATGGATGTGTAGAGCAGTGGGGAGGAAGCTTGTGGACATGTTTGGCTTAACACATGGAGGACCTTCCTACCAACAGCACTGGTAAAGTGTGGAGCATGTTGTCTTATCAAAGTTTCAAGGTGTGGCTTGGGTCTCTGTTTGATGATTATTGCAGGAGGAACTTGATTTTTTTTTTTTTTTTTTTTTTGTGGTACCAGGGATTGAACTCAGGACCCTGCACTTGTCAGGCAAGTGCTTACACTACTGAGCTATCTCCCCAGGTCCCAGGAACTTGAATATTATTTACTGTTGTTATTCACTATTGTTAAGGTCCTTTCATTCCTGAAAATTTAAAAGAATTACTCCTGCAATTACAACCAATACCAGATTTTAACATAAGATTCTAATTTTATTTTTGTATTTTATGCTCCATTAGTATCTTATTTCTTTTTCTTTCTTTAATTGAAAATTTTGTCAAAAGGAGAATATTTACCCTGGGCCATTGTCTTTCTCTGCTCCTCTGACTGTCATTATAATTTGCTTTTTTCTCTGGTTATTCTACAGAACTGGCTTATACCCAAGCCATCAGTGGAGCCCCTTTCAGAAAGTTGTGGGATGTTGTTCTACTTGTGCCTCACTCTGCCTCGGGACAGCATTTCCACCTTGAACTTGTGACTTCATTCATTGTTTCCCTAACTGTTAGGCTCCTCTTTTACCTGTGGGGCTTCTTTTTCCATTTGTGCTCTTACAGTCCTTTGAGGTTACTCTTCTATTCTGAGAATTAAACACCCTCCATATTCCTAGGGGAAAACTGTTAGTTTTATAGCTATGTTAACAAATAAAGTCTTTTACACTTTTTTTTCTGATCAATGACAACTGTCTTGAATGAACACAGCTCTAATAACTCATTGTCAGTGACAGAAATATGCTTTCAAATCATTTTCCAATGATCTCTGAATTTCTCGCGCACCATGATTGACCCATTCCCATGTCTGTAAGCAACACAACTTCATCCTCAAATGCTCCTACCAAATGCTACAGAGGTTCAACAGTCTGCTCTGCTTAATGAGCCCAAGCCTGGTCAGTATGGTTTTCCTAAATTTCAGGAAGTAATTGTTTTAGCATTTTAGGTTTAGAGTTAGCAATGTTTTCATCCTTTGATGATAATCTTTCCCCCTTCCTCCTATGCTGCTGCCCACCTTCTCATACAACAAAGCTTAAGATCTAGAGAAAAGTCCTGGTTCTAACCCTGTGTTCCGGGAATGATATTGGTCTAAGAACCCAGGTGGCCTTGTTATTGAGAACAGTTTCTAAAAATAAGTTCACTAAAATATGCAACAAAACATCTTAATCTTTTTTTTTTTTTTTTCTCGGAACCAGGAATTGAACTCAGGTCCTTGCACTTGCCAGGCAAGCACTTATTCCACTGAGCCATCTCCCCAGTCCCTAGCATTCTTGACTTTGCAAGAAAGTAAGGCCAAGAACATCAAGGCCAGGTGCAAGCAGACTCTCTTTTGATGGCAGTAGGTAAAACTGGCTTTTGTCTTGAAGACATGTGTTTGAATTAGGTGAATTTGAGTTCTGGGTGCTTTTACTTTGGGGTGGGTAGAATGGGGCAGAGGAAGGGAGGCAGTGCCTAGAGTTTGAAAAGGTGTGAGCTGCCCTAGTAGGAGAATCCTACATATTCCCTAGTCCCAAAAGTGTGACATACACATGTAAGGACAAACCAGTTACACATTCCTTCTCTCCTTCAACAGATGCTGTAAGGAATATTGCTTTATTTTAAAATTTGGTCCTTAGAAAAAAATTTTCACTGAAAATTTGCAACCTCAAACTGACCTTTATTAGCATCTCAGCCTGACTTCATGGTATATGGGTGGTTAAAAAAAAAAACAACTGAACCAATAATCTAGTTTAAAGTTGACTTAAGATTGTAGTGCCAAGATTTCTGACAGAAGTAAATGATGGAGTAAATCTTTAACTGAAGACTCAACTAATTGACTTGAATAAACTTCTAAGTGAAAATGAGCAAATCAGAACATCAAATCAAAAAACACCCGGGGAAAGAGTGCACAATAAATTAAGGCCAGAAAAAAAAATATGCCATAGACTGAGATCTCCAAAGACTCTCACTTATCAATTGTCAGAATAGTTAGCAGGTTTGAAGAAATAAAGTTCACAAGGCCTGACTTTCCCATTATGAATTGGGCATTTTAAAAGTAGACTCTTGAATAATAAGATGAGAATTGTGAAGAAGCATTCCAGTGTCAGGTGGAAATTATATGTTCAAAAATGAGACTTAGCAGGCCCAGAAAGCATGAGTTACAGGAGCAGGCAGCTCAGTGGCTTTTGGTAGCCATTCCTGTTTTTCCCTTTCTCCATCATACTCTAGTGGTGTCGTGTAGAATTTCCATGATTGACTGACCAAGGAGGAAAAATCAATGCCAGGTCTGTGGTGTAGTCTGCGTGGTACTCTGGCACTGGCCAGAAGTGTTGGGTTATATCCTGATGTAGGAGGAGCTCTTAAAGACAGTGGTTAGGGAAATACTTCTAGGAGATGCAGGAATATCTTAGTATAGGAATCTCTAATAATCATTATTAGTGGAAATAGAGTGAATGGTTTTTCTAGGTCTTGGAATGGACCAGCTTAGAACATTTGTAGCAATTAGGTCTGCTATAGTTATGTGTGTGGACCATTGTGAAGGGGACAAGATATTTTCAGTGCTATCAGAGGGTGATAAATAAAGCTCCACATGTGATCAGGGTGGGCTAAGGAAATAGAAGTATGGAGGCAGCCTTTCAATTGTTTCCATTTCAATCTTGTAGCAACTGGGACAAAGGAATCTCTCAGCTCAGACCTTCTGCGTCAGCGCATCTCCTACTGTGAGAGATAAGATGGATGTCAGGGCCAAAGTTAGCAGGAAACTGGATGCTTGCACGAGAAGTGTCTGCTGTTCTACAAAGAAAGCTTTTGAATATCAGCACAGCTACTCTCATCAATGCAAAGATTTAGAATTTTTATTTTGACCAGTTATATTTTCATCAGAAGGCAGGATACACGTAAGGAATACACCTGGTATCCTATAATACTTTTGGAAGACAGAAGACACAGGGAAAGATCAGTGTTTGAATATTTAACTAAGTGACTGGGGCTGTGCATTGGTCACCTGTACACAGGAACACTAAAAAGGGGTTAAATCTTGTGGAAACTATTGGGCATTTTAAGAACAGCATTGAAGAATTTGTCATGGGAAGTAGTGAGCACTTTAGACTTTTGCACAGCTGTTTTTATCTAGAATTACACAGTGGTGGGAGGTAAGGGTGAGTCGTGAGGTATTTCTAGTACCTTAACTCTATGACCTCGTCCATGGTTCTGAGATCATTGGTGAATAGCACTGAGCAGTCGTGAAGTGAGAGCCCCCGGGATCAAGGTCTGAGCTCCCATTCCCTGTCAGTGTCTGTGCTTCAGTCATAGATGTTTTCTTCAAAGTAGTTGGTAGCAGGTACTGTCATAATCACATCAATAATATCTGCTGGTAAATCAGACCAAATGGTAGGATTTGTCTTAAGAAGTTGCCTGTCCAAGGATTCTGGGCCGCGGATTTTGCTAGCTGGAACACAGCACATGCGATGGTGTCTACAAGCTTCTTTTATTGCTTCTCCATCTTTGCATTGTTTCCTGCAGGTTCCAGATTTGTTCTGGCATTTTTTGCCACCACTGTAGGCTAAAGAATCAAAAGAAAGACCACTGATTTTAAGTTGCTGATATTCTCAGTTTTAGTGGCATGACTGTTTCCAGCATCCCAGAAGAGCATTGTGGGTAATAATTAGACTATGGTTACAAGACTTTCGGTCAGAAGTGAGCAGTAGCTTTAACATCACTGAAAACAAACTGGCTAGTCATAAGGAATTCCAGCCAGTTATAATGAAGCTATCTGGGCCCGTGTCAAGGTATCCACATCAAGAAGCTAGTCTGGTAACTGTGATTGAGTTATTTGCATTGGCTAAATTAATTTGGACACATACTATTGTTAATTATACATGAGCATATAAAATACATCTGTGTAAAGACTATAATAAAATGAAATGCTCATGTACCTGCATCCTGATTAAGGACTAAGTCATTACTAGGAAGTTATAACTGAGTATTTCTATAGGACAGATTTCATTTGTTTGGGGATTAGGCCAGTGATTCTTAAACCCTGATATGCATATAAATCCCACAGAGGCTCTGCTAAAAGGTGACTTGATTGGTGGGGCAGGGCCTGAGTTTATGTTTTCTTAACAAAGTTCTAGGTGGGGCCAGGGATATAGCTCAGCTGCATAAAGCACTTGCCTGGCAAGTACAATACCCCTAGTTCAATCTCCAGCACCCCCCCCAACACACACAAAAGAAAACAAAAGTTTTAGGTTATGCCAATATTGCCAGTCTATAGACTGTACTTCCTGCAACAAAGTCAGAGGGCATTAAAAAAACCCAAGTCAGTAAGTTTCAGGTACTCAATATCATACAGTCTATGATTTTGAGCTAAATACAGTACAATTAGAATGAAAAATCCTTTATATTTGGAAATTGGACAATGTGAGAAAGAATAAAACTTAGGTAACAATAGCAAAAAGTAAGAGATAATGAAGTTAGAAGTAACAAAATCAGAAGACTTCTGGCAAGGCTGAACAGAGAAAAGAGGATGATAGCAAACTCAACCGTATGAAACATTGAAATAAACACAGATACAGCATGTTACAAACAACAGAACAGAATTATCAATAACTGCATGATAATAAAAAATTGAAAACCTAGACTAAATGGC